GCCAACGCATGGCTGGCGGGGGCCCCTCCGCCCGCCGCCCCCTCACCTTCCTCTTGATGTGCTCCAGGAGGTGCTCGTGGCCCTGCAGGAAGCAGAGGTGCTGGAACTCGGTGTCATCTCGCTCAGGCTTGACAAGACCCCCCTGCTCGATGTTCACCACCTTCCTGAAGCCATCTGCATGGAGAGGGTGCAGGTAAGGGCCAACAGACCCAAGCCTTCCTCCTCACCTCCCACCCCCATCGCTTTTGAGGATATTTCTGTTCGCTCCCCACAGTTTTTGTGCCCAAGGCACAGTTGTACCCCGTCCCCGCAGCTGGGCATGTTTATAGGCCATATCTACAAGCAATCCAGCACAAAGGAGAGCCCTGTGCATCCCACTGGCCACCCCTGCTGCTGCCCCACACCATGAAAGCCTTGCTGACAAACCCTTGGTCTGCCAGGAGCTGAAATGCCTGCTCTTCAGAAACCTGTTTTGATTTGCAAGCCAGAGGGGTTCAGAGGAAGGTTTTTCAAAGGCACAGACCAGCATCAGGTGCCACTCTTGGAAAAAAAGGGTCACACGCACATTTGGAAATCTACTTTGAATACTTCTCTGAAGTCCTAGAAAAGTTTCTAAACCATATCTAAAGACGGGCCTAAAATTTACAATAGTGCTACTGTATAGCTAAATAGCAAAGTTAAAACTTTACTGAGGAACTTTGTGAATTAGTCATTGAAAAACTCCCAAAAACTGTCAGAAAAGAGCCATATTTAATACAGTCGTGGTCTAGATATGGCTGAAAACTACACCTAAACCTCATTTAAGGAGTGAACATGTCCAATCAGCACAGCAAGGTTTTTGGGGAGAAGTACTGTCTGTTGTTAACTTGGCTGGTGAAATGGAAAAGCTCTGGGCAGGCCACCCTCAAAAGCAGCAGTTTCTGAGGGAGGTGTCACAGTATCAGGCTGCTGAAAAAAGCCCCATATAGAATAAAACGGAAAAGAAACAATAAGTCATCAAACTGATGCAAGAGAAGCAGAAAACCTGGTAACTGAAATTTCTTAGCTCACCTCTTACAATGTAATCTAAGAGAAATTTCATGCTGGAATCTAAAGTCAATGCAAGGAAATCACTCCCCTGGGATCTCAGAGGCCAAGTCCCCTTTGGCAAAATCAGTAATGCCAGAATAGCGCACGTATGCGAGATCTCAACTTTTCTATCCAGAGTTCTCTTTCACGCCTCCTGTCCCTCCTGCCCTTTCTGTCACTCCCCCTGCGTCTGTGGGACCCACATGGCCCAGGCTCTGGAGATTGAACTTACACATGTTCAGCTGCCGGACGAAACTGGCCATGTTGTTGTGTTTGAAATACTTGGGGAGCACCTCTTTGGCAAAGCGTCCTTGATCGAACACGTGGAAGCTGGTGCCATTCTGCAAAGGAAACAAGGAGAAAGGCAAAGTCATGGGAGCGTCCCCGACCGTGAGAGATGCCCAGGAGGACATGATCCCCTGGAGTCCTACAGCAGGGGAAGTCGTGCTCTTGGAATTGTCACCTTGGTGACAGCAGCCTTCAGTGATGGATGTGCTCCCTTCAGTTCTAGTACTGTCAGTCCTCTATGACTGCAGTTTTGATCTTTTTCTACTAAGCTTTGCCACTGCTTAGTTGAGAGCCTTGGACGTGAGAAACTGCAGACTTTTGCATCCAAATACCTGGTAGCCTGTGACCGTCCCTCCCTTGCGTGGACCTCACAGAAAGACTCTGGTGCCTGAAGAAGGTCCTGGAAAGTGGGAATTGCCATTATAACCCCTCAATCTGCTTGTATAGGTCTAACTCCAACCCTTCTGCTCCAGAGCACAGCAGTCCCGGAGGGAGTGCTGCCTGGAGACATGGCACAGGAAACACAGCATGGCAAGAAAGCAAATAATCTCTGGAGACACCATGCTGATCAAGAAGCTCTATGAGCCTTCTCTTGATTAGTTTTGAAAGTACACAGCCACAGGAGCAACCCACAAAACGTTACGAGTCATGCTTTACAGTCCAAGCTAGCAACATGCAAGTTAACCAGATAAAATATCCGTTTCTGGGGTTGCATTGCCAGGATCCGTGATTGCAAAACAATGCAAACCACCTGGGATGGCTGGCAGAGACAGGCAGGCTGCAGGTCATGCGCTTTCCCTGCCTGGCCTTCTACCTGCTGACACTTTAAGCTGGTACAGAGAGGGCCTGTGAGACACAACGCACTGAAGCAGCCTTGAAACATTTTGCAAACAGCAATCCACGCAACCTTTTTAAGGGACAGAAGAATTGGCGATTCATGTTCATCTGTAGCCAACACTTAGGAACAACGTTTCCTAAATCCCCAACCTCAACAGCTTCAGTGTCTCCAGGATATGGGGGCAGGGGGACCACCTTAAAGCCTCTCTCTGCTCCAGATGGGCAGACAGCACAGGGGTTTTGGAAGAATGAAGAATCATGATTTCAGACTGGAGTTTGAGGCACATATGGCATTTTTGTAATCTTGCAGAGAACGGTATAGGGGCTCACACTGGCTTTGCTTGTGGGGAGAGAAAGAGCTGCAAAAAGCTACCTGGGGAAACACGCAACTGTGCAGCCCAAGCTCACCACAGCTTTACGGCGGGACAGGCAAGATGCAGAGACCTATGCCAGTGCAAAGACATCAGCAGATATTAGGGACTTACCAACTCAGCTGCAGCTGAGTTTCCAGGGACGGCCAGCTAAAGGCACCAGGGTCTGCACGATGTAGGCAGGAAGGGGTCTGAGATCAGCACAGCCACAGTCATCCTCCTGCTGCGTTCAGCGTTATTACCGGCAGTCAAACGGTGTGTCAGCTTTGGGGGGGTTTTTCACAGCGGACTGTTTTTTTACACAGGAGGACAGTGTTTCGTAAGAGCGAGCACTCAGGCTCTGCGTGCAGTAAGAGCGTACCAGACGTGTGGGTCCCACCACGCACCCATCACAGGGTCTGCAGCTGCATGGGTGCACTCAGGGCTGCCTGGAAGTTTCTAAACCAGGGAGTGTAATCAGGAGAAAGCTCAGTGACTAAAGAGGGGCCGGTGTGTGCCTATAGTCTGCCCACGGCCACCAGAAAACAGCCAGTGGCATACCCTGCTGCCCTACTCCTTGCCACTACACTTCCATCACCAAAGGGTACCAATTCCCTCTGTGCTCTGGCTTGTCAGCTCTAACAATTAATCCTGCACGTCTACAAACGTAGGACTCTGGTTCAGCTGTACTTCTTGTTCACTGCTGGTGACTGTTTGCCTTGACAGTGCCCTTTGACCATCACCAGGGTCCTTCCCATCATTCTTTACCCACGCAGCAGAAGCAAAGACTGCTCAGGTGATTAAGAGATTCACTAATAAACCGTACGCTGAAATTATCCTCACAGTCAGAGCTTGCAGACATGACAGCAGGGACCAGGGTTTCCCAACACTGCAAAGGCTGCTCTGGGGACAGAGCTGGTTTATCCTGCTTCCCTTGTGCTTCTGCCAACTCATTCCCTCTGGGATACAGCTGTGTGTCCCAGGGCTGGGCAGGCTGACATAAAATGAGAAACACGAGGGGTTTGTGTCCCTGAACATCTCCTTATGGCCTCCCTTAGGAGGTCATTCCTTTGAATTCAGGGCTGTAATGTTCTCAGAAGCTGGTGCACCCAAAAGGGTTCCTACAAACACAAGAGACTTTGGAGTTCCTGTGTGTTCACCGACCAACCGGGCATGTGCCAGCTTGTTCCCACACAGCAGCTGTGCCTTGCTTGTCTTACATCATGGGAGCACAAGCTGGGAGAAACTTTGAAAGTCTTCTCCGCCCAAGGCAAAATTGATTCTACAGGTGTCAGTCTTGGCAGATGCTTATCTTTACTGCTTTTGACAGACACCCCGTGCCCTGCCCAGGCAAACTACTCCATGAATTTGCTAGGACTTCTTCCTAACTACGTCTTCCATTTTAAAAATTCATTTAATTATTCCTGTCCAATCTACCACGGACATGGCAGACTTTTCCTTTCCAGCTTACAACAGCCTTTAGCGTATATATAAACCATTACCATGTTTCGTCCCCATCTCTTCTCCTAAGAAATGGTTCATAGGCCCTTATAGGGGTGTCAGTCTTGGCAGATGCTTATCTTTACTGCTTTTGACAGACACCCCGTGCCCTGCCCAGGCAAACTACTCCATGAATTTGCTAGGACTTCTTCCTAACTACGTCTTCCATTTTAAAAATTCATTTAATTATTCCTGTCCAATCTACCACGGACATGGCAGACTTTTCCTTTCCAGCTTACAACAGCCTTTAGCGTATATATATATAAACCATTACCGTGTTTCATTCCCATCTCTTCTCCTAAGAAACGGTTCATAGGTCCTTATAGGTCCTATTTTCTAAGAGTTCTGATTACATCCAGAAATCTTAGGCATGCACACAATTTCTCAGCTCCAACAACGCTGATGGATAGAGGAGGGGGACACAACATGGGAAATGCAGACATCTAAAAGCTTTACCAAAACCTCGCAAGAACGTAGCTATAGCCTATGTTAGGTTGCAGGCAAGCAAAGCGTAGTGGTCAGTCAAAAATAACAGTGTTACAAGCGTAACAGAGCTGGGACTATTTATAAACGTGAGAAAATCCTTCTTGGTTTGAAAGTCCTTGTTTAAAACACAGGATACCAAACCTCAGTGGTTGGGAGAGGTATGGCCACGTAACACCTACGTCAGCAAGCAGCCATTGCCTTGGATAGCAATCCAGCTCAAACCCCATCGCCAGTTTTGAATGAAAACTCTGCTGGACACAAACACATGACAGAAAGGCTCCTTCAGATTTCCTCCCCCGCCCCCCAAAATCTGCTTTTCTTAAGGATTCTCGACATCAGAGAACAAGTTTATGCACACAACTTATCCGATAACTCCCTGCTGCAGACAAATCACAATATCATATGCAGGAAGTCTCAATCAGGTCAAAAGCACAGCGTGGCATCAAAATACTGTACTAGGGAGACAAATCATTTTAATTCTCTGATTGCACTTAGCATATTAACGCCTCAGTGACAAATAAGGAGCCAAAGCAAAGCAAACTATCCCTATGAAGCTGTACAGACAATACACACACACATCACCACGATCATCTCACAGACCAGTTGAAACATTAATTACAGCTCTTCCAAAACAGCGAGCGATTTAGGGTGCCAGTCTGAGATCTGTTTAAACCACAGGTTTCAGCCGCGGGTCTGAATGCTGTTTATCTGCTGCCTTCTCCCAAGGCATTTGCAGAATACATGTGGAATAACATAAAGAGCAGTGGAATTATTTAAGGGCTTTGCATCTTTTCTGGAAAATTTTAGCAAAGGTGAAAAACCTCTCTCTTAAGGAGTCTGGATTTTTAGAAGATTCAGTATTAGACACCTTTTAAGATGCTTAAGCGAAATGTGTAAATACTCTTATTAAACCACTCTGAAACCAGTTGTCCCTTTGAAACAGAAAAGCCACAACATTGCAAATAAATAATATTGAGTATATCCAAAAGGTCTCCTAACGAACTCTCGGTCCGTTCACTCTCCCGGTTAGCTGGCCAGCACTCGTAAAGCAATGGGACATTGCTGTGATATCATTTGCGCCTCCCACCTCGGGTTCTCCCGGTGTTGCAGGCACTCAGTGATGCCCGATATTCGCTGTACTTACGCTACTCCAGCAGATGAGATGGTTCGTTTCAGGATCTTCCACCAGCGTCCAGAGTTTGGTTAGGAAGGCTGGCACGTTGCTGGAGTATCCATCCATCACCAGAGAGCTGGGTGAATCCTGCATTGTTTTTCAGTGTCCCAGCTACGCTAACCCCATCGCTCTCGGCGTGCCTGCCTCCCTGCACGCGCGTGTGTCCGACAGAGAACGAACCACTGAATTTTATCCCGGGCCAGTGCAAAGTAGGCTCCCAGGGAGTCACATCAGCAGCGCTGCTTGCACTCTTAAAAACTCAGCACAATGCGATGGCATCACCAGCCCCAGAGAACAATACACAGAATGAAAATGCACTGCAGCCGATCTCGCAGAGCTGTGAATAAATACGCAGCGTCATGCAAAGGGAACACGTGCTGCGCACCTTATGCCGGGAGGTTAGCGAGTCACCGGAGTGAACCCACCTGCCGAGAGGCTGCGGGATGCCCAGGCACAGCGATGCCAGGTTGGTGAAGGCACCTGAATTGTTATTTTGGAATTTTCTTGTCCTAAACGTTGGCCGGCACAGATGAACAAGGGCTGGCCAGACCTCAGGGCTGCAATCTTTGGCAAGGTTTTGAAAAGTCAAAATTGTAAGCTGGTTTGGCTACAGACCCCATGTTATTCGTCAAGAGAAATGATTTGGCTCTGAGTTAGAAGAGAGGGCGATAAAACCAGCTACACAAAGAATCTAGACGACAATATGCTTTTATTATTATTATCGCTGTCGTTATAAATGCTTTAGATAGCTCTAAATAAGTGCTCGCAGTGTAGCTTTATGTCAGGATCATTTCAACTCTGAAACTGCTCTTCAAATAACATTCACCAACAGCTTTGCTACAACAGACCAATACACACATATCCTAATGCAGATGCAAGATAACTTGCATGTGAATGCAGATATCAGATGCAAAAACTCTCAGCGCTCTTGATTCTCCTAAGAAACACTAACAATGCAATAAAAGCAAAGGTCTTTGCAAAAGGCATTCAAGTTATAACCTGGAAATCCGCATTTCTGAGCAAAAGAAAGACAAGATGGTAACGGGAATTTGCAGGCCACGTGCCTTTTATTACTACTTCGTGAACGTTTTTCCTTAAGTGCTTTTTCTCCTGCTTCTATTCTCTAGCACTATTCAGCTCCCGTTACATCCCTGCAAGCTGGAAGTTACCTGACAACCGGATAACGGGTGAGCTCGCCATCACTGAAATGCCAAAAGAGGAATTACCAAGGTTAGAGTGGGTTTTCCATCAGAGGACCACAGTTCGTTGCTATAGCTCACTGGATCTGCATGGCCAAGTACCCCCTGGGCAGCAAACAAACCGAAGCTGCCGCTTCCTTAACTGCCTATTTAAGTAATTGCTGGGCGCCTGACACAACATGCTTGACTTTCAGATCCTTTTAAAATGCAAAATCAAAATTAAATTTCACTGAGGTCCTCTGTTAAAAGCCACGAAGGGTAAACTCAGCATTCCTACTAAATAAAGAAGCAGAGAAGAAAAAAGACCTGCCCTACATACCCCCATAAAGAGAAAAAAAATTTTCTCTGTATAACCCTTTCTCTATCACATTTGAGTGTAAACGCTTGGTCTGCAGAACAGGTGTGCATCATATGCAACAGCCCGTGCTGGTGAAACAGCATGCTCTCTGTGAGCGCAGAGGGCATTTTGCAGTATTTTCCTTACAGCCCTAGATCTTCTTTCCCCTGTCCTCTTGCAGATCCCCACGATTTCCCCAGGAAGTCAGTAGGAGCCGGTCACTGAACCGTTACTGGTTTCCAGGGGTGCCGTTCCTTGGTGACCTTCAGAGTGTACTTTTTCAGACTGGGGCAGTGCGTGAGGAACGCTTCTACCACCTCCTGGCTGACCACACAGTAGCAGTGGATCTCCAACAGATTTCTGCACTGCCTAGCCAGATCTACTAGCGAGGAATTTAAGTCCTCTGAGGACGTGGTTTGCAGTGTCAGCTTCTTTAAAGTACTGCTGTAGCTCTGGGTGACAAACCTAATCTGGTTTACCATGTAATTATAGGTATTAAGCTGCAGCGTCCTCACTGGTATGTTCAGCTTCAGGATCCGTGGTATTTTGCAGGCAGGGACCGTATGATCAAACTCTAGGTCTACACAGAGTTGAGGATGCTTCTGACTTACGGCAGCCCAGAGCTCTTCTGAGATGACTGGTATATATTTGTCCAGCCGCTCACAGAAAATGTCTAAATGGGTGAAAGCTGCTCTCTCAGGCTTGAGCAGTTCCTGAAATACATCATCAGACAAACTGGCATAGTAAACCCCCAAGGCTGACAGCTTGGGACACGCTCTGAGAACTTTCCTAATGGTGTCTGGTGCCACGTTGCATACCAGGGTGCAGTTGTTGATGAACAAACTGTGCAAGTTTGGGTTGGTGGTAGCTAAGAGTTCAACAAGCCCATCATCCAGAGTGAAGGGCATTTTTCGAAAATCAATATGCTGAAGATCTATCTGGTTTCTGGTGTCGCATATATTCCGTATGCTCTGCAGGATGTCCTGGCCAGAGTAGAAATAGGGGTTCTCCCCATGGCACACAATGCACAGCTGCTGCAGTTTGTGGTTCTGTTTTGCCAACACATCCAAGATGCGTGTCACGTTCTTCCGGTTGACCTCCTTGGACTGGTCAAACACAATCTTCAAGTGTTTGATTTGGCTGAGGAACTGGAGCAGACTCTGCAGCATGCCTTCCTCATCCTCTGAATCACAGCTGGAAGGGTAAAAACAAACTCTTAGTCACCGTGAACACTGGGCTGAGCAACCACAGAGCAGATATGCTCCTTTACTAGCGTTTCTGCAGACATCAACAGATTCCCCAGATGTTTCTCCTCACTTGATGCCTGGGGAGCCACTGTAAGGAGATGAGAAGGGTCAGACCCCAGAAGGACCCATCAGAGAAGTAAGTGCCATGACAAGGATAACTATTCAGTAGCTTTGCTTCTTGCCATTTTCAAATGGCAACTTAGAAAAACGTACCTAAGAATGTCGTATTTCCCATAAAACCCAAATCAGCAGCAGCAACTGAAAAAACCCCCAGCGTATAACACAATTTTCTCTATTATACAAACAGGTGCTAGTCATGCAGGATAATATCATCACACACAGAAGTCACGATTAATATCAGTAACATCACAGCACAGAGGTGTAAGTGTTTGACATGCGCTAGAAACAACGATCTGGTTATGTCCGCAAAGATGCTTGGACATTAGACACCCATTCCTCTTACCTGATCTCTGTGAAATGCCAAACGGAGCTAGAAGAAACAGCTGTAGCCCAATGTCTGCACACCTGGAAGACTGTGTATCTATCTCGAAGAGAAAGATAATAGAAAATTTGGCTGAGGATTTCTTCTGGGATGTAGTTCCACAGTTCTGAAACTGGAGCAGGCATTTTGCCGATTCGGTTAGGTTTAAAAATGGGAAAAACTTCCAAAACTGCAATTAATCCTCAGAAGTCCCTGTTTGGAAAAACAAACAAACCAAAACAAGACACACACATTAGGATTTATTCAACAAATCAAACCAATGCAACTGGATCACAGAGGAGGTCAACAGTTTTTTCGAACTTGACATTTCACCAAATTTTTAAATTGAATACAAAAATGAGGACAATCTGTTGGCCAATTATTTTGCACAGTTGTTTTTCAATCAACCAATCCTAAGAAGCTGGGTGATACTTTTCAGGAGTTAAAGATGCCAGATCAAAGCTGGGGGCGGGCGAGCAGCGCCTTTTTTCCTGCAGTGAGGTTTTGCCACTCTGAGTAATAAAAATGCAAGGGAATTTTCTAGTACTGCTGCACTGGCATTCAAAAAGCCGAGACAGATTTCTCAAACTGGGTTGGGGGCGGGGGGAGGAAAACCTCTTTGCAAGCAGGAGCTCTGCACAGAAAACAGCTCCACATAGCCATTTTTTACCGATCGTCAAAGAGAAGGCCCATAGTAGAAACCAGTAGCTTAACAACAGTGGGCCTTGCCTGCGATGAGACATGATGGTTTGAAAAAAAATGTTTTATTACTGTGACTCCAGTTCTCAGAAACAGCATTTATACATGTCTGACTTCGAAATGGAAAAGCCTATTTTGATTAACCTTTCCTGTGAACTATAACGCAGAACAACCACCACCTGGGAAGAAGGCTGAGGTTCACAGCATCAGATAGTTACCTAACTTTTTCATTCATCATCTTCCAAAACACCTTTTATCCGTCTTCTAGATTTCTGCACAAATAAAACTACCAACGTGACCGATTTTTTTCAACCCTCTCATAAACAAGCGAGGGTTTTTTTAAACGCAAACGTTCCCTTTCCTAGGTTAGCACTGGAACACGGGCCAAGTCTCGCAATCTCACTCTGAATTTCATAGCACACCCTCTTGATTTTGAAGCCCGAGGTCCTGGAGTCCCAGCATCCTCTCAGCATCACAGGTTTCATTTAAATGAAAACCTGAGCTTCTAGATATCCTCAAAGTACGGAAAGAGTTGAAAAACATGAAGCAAGTACGGAGTAGCGATGCAAAAAACATAATGCAGAGAGGGACACAATTGCACATTTTTCTCGAATACGCTGCTTTGAAGTGTGAGTCATTATTTTGAGTGCGAGGTGGCACTAGCATAGCAGCTACACTATCTTATCTACCATCGTATCGGTGACAATCGCCTTTCCACCCACTGCCGAGGGGGTGGAAACAGCCAAGTGATACAGTCCTGCTTCCTTCCTGGGAACTATCTTTTGTCACCTTGACAGCTCGGACCCTATTTTTCTACTCTTAACTGCTTTTAATACCATCTCTAATACACGTTTGCCAAAATACAGGTTAAACTGCTCTTTGCCCTACATGAAACCTCATGTGTTCAGCACCTTTCGTTTTTATTATGATATTTTTCCTTAAAGCCCGAGCCCTTGGAGCCACGTAAAAAGGATCTCGAATCTCTTAGAAAGTAAAGGTGCATTTCTAGCTGCGGTAATTGCTTGGAAAAGCTTAAAAACACGGCCCGAGAGCGGGAAGGCAGGCAGAAAGGCAAAATTATTAGTGTCGCTTTAAGTAACCGCACGGCTTTGAGTCGGTGAGAAGCACGG